CGCCTGCTGCCGCACCTGAGGCAGAGACGTGGTGAGGGCCGGCGGGCACCCCCGCCCAGCCCAGGCAGGACGTGCGCTCGGCCGGGCCCCCACCTGCTTGCGCCGAAACAGCTCCTCTTCCTCCTGCCGCCGCTTCTGCTCCTCCTGCTGCTGCTGCTGGCGGCGCTTCTCCTCTCGGCGCTTGCGCTCCTCCTCCTCCCGCTTCGCCCTGAGCTCCACTTCTCTGCGCTCCTGGAACTGCAGCGGTCGACATCAGACCTGACATCAGGCCTTCCCTGCCGTGGCCCGGCCCCCGACACCCGAGGACTCCAGCCCCAGACGCCCACTCACTTTATGCTGCAGCTGGAGTTGTTCTAGAATTGGACCCTGAGTCGAAGAGTTAATTGGTATGTCCCAAAGACTGGCCTCACCGCCTGCAGGGAGCAAAGGCAGCTGCAGGAGGGAGCTCAGGCCTCAGGGTACCCACCCACCCGCGGCCGTGGGGGATAGGGAGGGGACTTCAGGGCTCAGGACGGGCCGGGCGGGCAGTGGCTGGCCACACACCTGACTGTGATGAGGCTGAGGTATGTATGTCCCAGAGGGGGCCCGAGTCTGGCGCTGACAGGGACCGGTTCATCGTCGGGAGCAAGTTCTGGTCCCCACCCCTGGGGAGCAAAGCACTGACACTCAGCACCCTAAAGCCATCTCCAGCCTGCACCCCACGCCCCCACCACCCGAGGGCTGTGCGCATGGCCACGGGAACACAGAGCAAGGACGCAGCATCCCACACACCTGGGGGGCTTGAGAGCTTGGAGCTGCTGCAGGAACGCGGTGAGCTGCTGCTGCGGCGGCGGCGGCAGGTCCCCCAGAGCCGCCTTTTCCCGGAGTGCACACTGCGGGAGCTGGCGGCTGCCGAGAAGTGGGCGGGCATGAGGTGGGCCAGCCACAGGGCCAGAGCGGCCCTACTGACAAGCCCTGCTGGGCCCCCCATACCTGCTGACCAGCTGCAGAAACTGCTGGTGCTGCAGCTGCTGATACAAGGCGGCTGCCGCCAGCTCCTGCTGCTTCTTCAGCCGCTCCTGGTCCATGTTTCCCTGAGTGAGGGCCAGAGAGTTCCGGCGGCTCTGACCTTGGCTTCCTCTGCAGCACCCGCTGCCATCCGCCAGGCTCCCACCTCCCGTCCCTGCTCTGTGCAAAGGGGGGTATGCTCACCAGCAGTGGGGGTGGTGAGGGCCCAGGGGCAAAGGGCACACGACCCCACATCTTGATCACCTCACCCAACGGCTGGAAGCCCTCATCACAGCCCCGCTTCACAAGCAGGGCCATGGAGAAATAGCCCGCCTGGAACCACTCCGCCATCTCCTGTGTCGTGAAGGGGCCTGGGCCAAGGGAAAGGGGGCCGTGGTCAGAAAGGTGCACCAGAGGAGCCCTCGATGAGAACGGTGCTGTCCCCACGCCCCAGCAGCCCCTCCTGCATGCCCTGCTTCCCACGGGCACCTTGGATCTCCCCCTGTGGGTCCTTGTAGAACCACTTCCGGGCCGCGCCATGGCTGAGGGGGAGGGCGGTGGCAGCTGCAGAGTGGCGCAGGCCCTGGGCCTGGATGGCAGCTGTGAACTGCTCCTCCTCCAGGGAGCTGTCCTGCAGGGAGGCCACGAGCTTCTCCGCCTCCTGGGAACCCAGGGAGAGAGGGGAAGGCTTAACCGGCCAAGCCCAGCAACATCGGACGGGGCTGGGGCTAAGGTGGGGTGGGGTCAAGAGAGCAGGTCCTAACACAGCGGGACCAATGGGGAAAAGCCTGGAACCGGGGCAACGACAGACAGAATAAAGACTCTCTGTCCCCCCAAGAGGGGAGGATCCCCAGAGGCTTCTCAGGCCCCCTCACACCTGCTGCAGGTGCTTCAAGCCTTCATCATCTTCCAGATCTCCAGGTGGGCCAGGGGGTGAACCCACCCCAGGACTCAGCTGCACTGCCCTCATATCGTCTCCTAGAAGGAGCAAAGAAGGGAAGGCGGAATGGGTGAGTCCAGAGAAGGGAGTGAGACAGTCCCCCTTCTACCACCCTTATTCCAGAAAAGTCGGCGCTAACTCTGGCCCCCCCCCACAAACACTCCTTGCACCTCCTTCCCACAGGGAAGGGGAGCATCTTCCCCACCAGCCCCAGGCTCCAGGGAAAGGGTGGCCCTGCCCTCTGGCTACCTTCAGCTGCCGGCAGGTCTTTCTCCAGAGCATCATCGCCTTCCCCGTTGCCTCCCCAGAGTGGGCCCAAGCTGGGCAGTGGGGATGGGGAGCTGGACTTCTCCTCCTGAGGAGGCAGTGGGGTCAGTTCTTTCCCACCTGAAAGGGAAGGGTAATTACCAGAATTCAAAACCAAAGAGCTGGAAGGCCTTAAAAATGATTTAGCACAGACCTTCCATTTGTGGTCAGAAGGGCCTCTGGGTATTGAGTCCACCCACGTACCTTTGGTCAGCACAACTAAGGTTCGGTGAACTGACACCACAAACCCCGCTTTGCACACTTCCTCTTTTGCCCCTTCGGTAATGGAAATGCATCCATATCACCGTCCGGGGCTGTACACACAACACCACTGGTTTAATACCGTGTTCAACAGATTCGAGGGACAGAATCAGGGACAGAGTCAAGGGACTGTCGAAGGTCGTTTTGATCCTGCTTTGATTTTTATCTGACCCTCGGCCTTCTGGACACAGCCCTGCTGTTTGCAGGCTCCTCCCCACAACTGTGTCGGCACCGGCCTCCCTCCGTGTTGCCCGCGGACCCTGCTCGCTCGAGGCTGCAGGCGTCCTCCTTGCCCCGCTGCGCAGGCTTACCCGCCTCAGGCCCCTCCTCATCTAGCCCTTCGGAAGGCTCTTCCTCCTCTTCCTCCAGACCCTGGAAATCGAGCTCCTGCTCCTCAGGAATGGGCTCCTTGGGGCCCTTCTGCACAGGTTAGGGGTTATGACAGGGAGGTGAATGGCAGAGGAAAAAAGGGTGGAGTGAGAGGACCCCCTCAGGGCAGGTTCCCACCAACCTCTAAGAAAAGTCTCCCCCTCGCCGCCTCTCAGATACCTTGAGAGGCAAGAAGGCCCCGGAGGCATCGAAGGTGCCCATTTCTTCATCCTCATCGTCCAGACACCACTCCGGGAGCCCATCCTTGTCGTCATCAAAGCCGTCAGGCCCTCGGCACCTCCGGAGGTGAGAGCCGCCCGCCCCACCCCTCCCCTCCTCTTCACCACACCCTCCTCGATCCCCTCGCAAATCAAATTCAAACTTGCGACGCCGGTCCCCATGTTCCCGCCAGCCAGCAGAGCGGGGGCCGCCATCTGGACAGGAAAAGTCGGAGAAGGAGAATTGGTATCGCAGTCAAGCCAGAGTCCCCACTCTTCTGCCGCCCACCGGGACCCCCGGCCCGGAACAACCGGCACTTCCGGGACTGCATTCCCACCCGCCCCGCTCCAGAACTCTCTGCTCCCTCTGCCTGGCCGTAGGTGCCCACCCTCACAGGAAGTTCTCGCCGCCCGCCGCCCCCCACGGCGCCCACCTGGCCCCCATCTCACCAGGGCTGGCAGAGCGCCAGCGGTCGCCATCTCGCCGGGGTCCTGCCCCAAGTCTCCAGCTGCCCTCCTCCTCTTCCTCTTGTTCCTCCCGGAGAGAACGCCAGTTCTCGCTATCTGAGCGGGCATGCTCCTTCCTCGGGCCAGCCCCTCCCTCATCAAACCCGGATCGCGCTTGGGAGCAGGGGAAGACACAGTCAGCGGGCGGCGGCCACGGTCCCTGCAAGACTCTTACTATACACCTTGCTGGGAAAGAGGAGCCCAGCTCCGGGCCCTCCTGCCCCTACCACCTCCCCCAGGAAACATCCCCCAACCGGGGCCACCCATTTCAGTCCTCCCCCACCTCTTAACGACCTCAGGGCCTGGCCACCACCCTCGCCACTCTCCATACCTCCATCCCTCCTGGCCGACTTCTCAAACCGCCTCTCACTTCTGTGGGAGAGACAGGTGTGGGTCAGAGGACAGTTCCGTCCCCAACCTGCAGGATCTCTGCTCACCTTGTTCATTCTGCCCTGAGAGGTGCGGGGCGGGGGCAGGGGGACGGGATGGGGGACGGGGGGGCTTGGAAGGAAGCCCAAGGGCGTGCCCAGAGAATCGGAAGGATAAGGGCAGGGTCACAGGGGGTCAGAGAGCACAGAGAGAGCTCTCTGACCAGGGCTGATCTGGTGGGTCTCCTGGTACCCTCTGATGGCAAGACCCAAGCCTCCCTCCATGAGACCCTGGGCCATAACCCCGAGGCCCCTCTCTGCTCTGCCTCTATGCCACCTTCTCCCAGCCTGCACCTGTCATCCCAACTCTGGCTACGTTGGATCTCCCGGGGGTTTCGGCCAAAGGCCCCATCGCCTTCTTCAATGCTTCTTTGGTAAAAGCAACTGTCACCGCGGCCGCGTCCTGGAGAAGGAATGAGGTGCGCGTGGGAAACCTGCCGGCTCACCCCTCCAAGTCCTCAAGACCGTGAATCCCACCGCTGCCCGCCCCAGAACATGCCATCACCCCCCTCTACCTCGGCTCCGCGTGCTGCCCCTGCCACGGGAGGCGCCACCTAGGGGGGGACCAGCCCCTTTCCCCATCAGCCTCAGCACAGCCACACTGTTCACTGACAGGGAGAAGTTTCTCTGAGGAGGGAGCCAGGGGTGGGAGTGAGGACCCAGGCACCTGACCGCTCCCACCCCATCCACAACCGCAACTCCACCACCTGCCTTCCCAACTCCAGCCCCCTCCACGGTGGAGACGCGGCACCTGCCAGCAGGGCCCCACCTGCTCCTCCTCAGTCAGGGGCTCCAGCGCCAGGGGCTGCAGCGGCTCCTCCTGCAGCACCGCAGCAAACTCCTTGTCTTGCAGCTCATCGGGGACCTGTCAACCGGGGCAGGAGATATCACATGCTCCGGGGCCCTCTCCACCGGCCAAGGCCAAGCGGGCAACTGGGCCACACCCCACGCCTGCCCACCCCTACCTTGCTCTCCTTGACATAGAGGGCCAGCATCTCCTCTCGCCCGTAGCGATAGTCGGCCAGCTTGTATTTGGGCATGGCGGGGGATGGGGGTGGGGAGGCCACACTGCCACCACTAGAAAGGGCCCTCAGCCTGCAGAAAGGGCACGAGAAGGAGAGAGACAGAAATCTGAGCAGCCCCGTCCTTCCCGGCTTCTCTACGCCACCCAAAGCACACCTGACTCACCACTCAGGCCCAAAGTTGAGGGTCTCTGCTGCCATTGTGGAGCTGGGCGTGTCCTAGAGGTCGAGGGGATGAGCAGGGGAGGGGGTACCGGGTGTTCACTCTCCAAACACCTGTGGAGACGAGGGGGACACTGGGCCTTGGAGACAACACAGCCGGAGAGCCAGAGAGGATGAGGACTAGGTGGGTACAGTAATGGGCTCTGTAAGGACTCGCCTAAGCCAGCCACGTGCCACTCACACCATGAGTTAACCAAAGAGTCACGGTGGAGGAAGGCCTGGGGGAGGGGAGGAAAACAGGCAGCCAGAGCCCCTTCCAGCTTCTGCAGGGGGATGCCCTCCCTCTGGCCCAGACTCACCTGGCAGCCTTGCCCAGGGAAGTAGGTAGGGCAGGGGCCAGGCTCTCTCCAGGCAAGGGCCTGTGCTGGAGTGAACCAGGGTCCCCAGGCAACTGGATGTTGGTCTGACCAGAGCAGTGCCCAAGGAGGGACCTTCACATCTGGGAAAGATCCTTATTGAGGGGCAAAGAGAAGAAAGTGGGGTTAAATTAATGGTCAGACAGACCTCCCTGCCTCCAGCCCTCCTCCGTCCTGCATAACGAGAAGGCCCACAGCTGCCTGGAGGCCGCTGGTTACGGAGCACAGGGCAGCCCAGGCCCTGCTCCTCCTCATCGCTGCCCTCCACTCATCAGGCCACTCGAGCAGTCAATTCACTTGGCAGAGCCCGGTGGAGGTACTGGGGGTGTGGCAGGGAACGCCAGGCACCTCCCGACAGCTCAGCACTCTCGCCAAGTGGCCCAGCATTCAGTAAAGGGGTGCCTGAGGTACACGTGGATGTTTAGGACAAAGATAAAACACATACACAAACAAGTAAAAAAAACCACTGGAGTCCCAAATGTTCTAGAGAGAGAAAAGGCCAGTTATTAAGAGGGTTAGAAGTTTATCTGGGAGCAAAATTACCTCTCCCCTGAAAACACTCAGGTCTGGTCGCTTGGCAGCTAGAATCCAGAGACTCAGTTTGGGGAGAGACCCGGTACAAGGGGAGCGGGGGCTATTCCAGAGCCTGAGGTGGGGCGCGCTGAAGGCCGTAGCCAGCCACTCCAGCCAGCGTGCCCACGGCTCACTCACCAGACCGGAGTCAACACCGAGGCCTGGTCCCGGGGATCGGAAGAGCCCGATCGTAAGGACAGAGAGCCAAGGAGGGAACGACGTTACCGTGATACAAGCTAGGAAGAAGGCTCCCTCACCACAAAGCAGGAATAAGGTCAGAGTTACTGAGGCTGACAGAAGCGGTTGTGGTGGTGGCAGCGACCCGTCCCTCTAAGGAACAGCGGAGGCGGCTCTCAGGAGGCGGCACATCCCTGGTGGTGCCAAGCAGAGGGGGGGAGGGCAGGGTCTCAGGGAGCCGTGCAAGGGCTTCCCTCACTGGCTGGGGCGGAGGCGGGACCGGAGCACCTCCACAGTTCCCATCGACTCCAAGACTCCACAACTCTGGGAAGGAAGGAAGGAGAAGGGTTTCCACCAAAGGGGCCACAGGGGAAAGCGGCTCCTCCACAGCTGCAGCCCAGAACCCGGAGCAAACTCCGCGACAGACACGGGACCCACTCCCAGAATCCCAGCGTCCTAGGGTGAAATGCAGCTTGTGAGACCGTCCAGAGCAGGGCTGACCTCCCCTGGCAGCCTCAGCTGGCCATTTGTGGAGCTGGAGCACGCCACAGCCCACACAGCCGTCGGAGAAGACAGGCCTGTTGAAAAGCTCTTCCTGTCACTGAATTCGAGTAGGCCTCCCAGAACAGCCGAGTCCGGTTAGTTCTGTCTGTGCTACAACCCTTATGTAATTTGGCCAACGAATGACTCTTGAAAACATTAGCTAAATAAAACATACCAGTCACGGAAGAACAAATATTGGATGATTCCTCTCACGTGAGATTACCAGGGGAGTCAAATTCAGAGGAACAGAGTAGAACAGTGGGTGCCAGGGCTGGGTGGGGGGGCAAGGAGAGTGGGGAGTTGTTTAACGGGGACAGTTTCAGCTGAAATGGGGCAGGTGAAAAAGTTCTGGGGATGAGGTGGATGGCTGCACAACAACGTGATGAATGTATTTAACGCTGCAGAATTGTATCCTTAAAAATAGCTAGGGTGGGGGCTTCCCTGGTGGTGCAGTGGTTAAGAATCCGCCTGCCAATGCAGGGGACACGGGTTCAAGCCCTGGTCTGGGAAGATCCCACATGCTGCGGAGCAACTAAGCCCGTGAGCCACAACTACTGAGCCTGCGCTCTAGAGCTCGCGAGCCACAACTATTGAGCCCACATGCCGCAACTACTGAAGCCCGCGTGCCTAGAGCCCGTGCTCCACAACAAGAGGAGCCACCGCAATGAGAAGCTGCACACCACAACGAAGAGCAGGCCCCGCTTGCCGCAACTAGAGAAAGCCCGCGCGCAGCAACAAAGACCCAATGCAGCCAAAAAATAAAAATAATTTTTTAGCTAAAATGGTATATGTTATATTTGACCATTTTTAAAAGGTTTGTGGGGGGACTTCCCTGGCTGTCCAGTGGTTAGGACTCCATGCTTCCAATGCAGGGGGTGCCAAGTTCAATCCCTGGTCGGGGAACTAGGATCCCACGTGCCGCGTGGTGCGGCCAAAAAATAAAAAAAAAATTACTGGTAAAAAAAAAAAAAAAAGGCTTGGGGGAAAAGAAGACATTTGGGGACAGCTATCACATACTAAGTCTTCGTCACTCCAAGAAAAACACCCCACTTCCTTCAAACAAACTCAGGAGAGGCTGTTCTGAGCCTCTTCCAGGCCACCCCAGAAGAGCCCCATCCTAGACGGATGGGACAAAGAGTCCTGCGAGCATGGAAAGCTGCTGCGGGGTGAGAGGACAGAAAGGGGACAACTCACCCTCCCACCCCTCCAGGGAGTGGCAAAGGCGGCTGGCCGCCGGGCGCTTCCCACTTCAGCCGTCGCCCTTCTGTCCTGGTTGCAAGGAGCGAACTGAGAAAAAGCGCTGGCTCCGGGCGTGAGAAGCAGGGAAACTGCGGAGGCGAGAGAGACAGGCAATCAGGCGAGAGGAAGTGGAGGAGCGGCCGGTGAGAAAGGTCAAGCGTCCAGGCGGGCCCAGCCAGGGGAGGCCTGGCTCCCAGAAGCCGGTGGCTGCCTGGCCCTCCGACTGTGGGCAGCACACACATGCCCCACCGTTTCTAGCTCCAAACAGGCGTGCGTCTTTCCCACGCGCTTCATCAAAGCCACCCCTTCTCAACTGGGGGCAACTCTGCTCCCCAGGACACATCGGGCAGTATCGGGGGACATTTGTGGTCGGTGTGACTGGGAAATGCTACTGGCATCCAGTGAGCAGAGGCCAGGGTTGCTGCTAAACATCCTACGCTGCACAGGACAGCCCTCACCGCAAAGAGTTATCTGCGTCCAGATCACCAACAGGGGCACAGTTAAGAAACCGTCCTGTGTGCCGCAGGCAGAAGGTAACCATGCCTATTGTCTGTTTATGGGGAAGAATGTAAGACAAGAGAAACCAAATTTACTCCAGCTCATTCCTGCCTCTGAAGAGCAAGGAAATCATTCCCTAATTACACTGTCCCATGAGAGAAATCTGCAATCCTGCCAGGAGGGAAATCCTCGGGAAAAGAATAGGTTAAACAAAATTGTCCTAAGTCTATCACAAACTTTGAAAGCCCAGCATTTGGATCCCCTTCCAGTGAAGGAAAGAGCAGGAGGTGGCAGGCAGCAGACGGAGACAGCATCCCTCCCTGGCTACTTGACCTAAGGATGTTGTGCTTAGCCCCCACCTCTCAGCATCTGTCTGCCTCATCTATCCACACCCCGCCCCCTTCTCCTTCTCAAGCCTCAGCATACCCTCACTCCCCGAGCACCTGAATTACTGCTCTTAAAAGACTGCCCCCTGCCGGAGTCCAAGGGAGAGGACACACACTGGTCCTGGGTGCTCACGACAGGCTTGAGGGAACACGAGGGGACCCTGTTCTCTGGGGTTCGGAACTCACAGGAGAAGGAAAAAATCCAGAGAATAGGCAGTCCCAGTACACACTAAGTTAAGAACGTTATTTCCTCATTCCATCACCGCGAAAATTAGCCCCAATCCAGAGCAATGTGCTTTGGCACAGGAAGGTACCACTATTAACAGAAGTACAATACCAAATTCCCCAACATTTGAGCAACCACCCAGCCCCAAGCCTGTTGGAGGTGACTCCGCCCTTTCTCAGGACGGAAAGATTCTCCATGCGGGGTAGGAGAACTCTTGATACTTAAAAAGAGGTGCAAGACCATGTTCTTCCCAGCTGGCCAGTTTTCCCAGCTCTGCCCTCTGAGCCATCATAACAACGCCCCGCAGCATGTCTAGTAGTTAACAGTTTTCAAAACACTTTCACACTTTACCTCATTTGATCCCTTCTGCCCACTTGCCCAGTCTTGGGCTCCAGGCAGAGAAAACAAGGAAGGGAGGCTGCAGCTGCCCTGATAGGAGATGCTGATGTCTCTGACACCCTACCTGAGACTGGAGAAGGGGCACATCTGCAGCAAGAACCACCCCAAACTCACAAGCACACTTTGTGAGTTTTAAACCATTTTTAATTTCTCGTTAGAATTTTTAAAATCTTTCCCATAGGGACTTCCCTGGCTGTCCAGTGGTTAGGACTTCACCTTCCAATGCAGGGGCTGTGGGTTCGATCCCTGGTTGGGGAGCTAAGATCCCACATACCTCGCAGCCAAAAAACCAAAACATAAAAACAAAAAAACCCACAGAAGCGATACTGTAACAAATTCAATAAAGACCTGAAAAATGGTCCACATCAAAAAAAAAAAAAAACCTTAAAAAAAAAATCCTTCCCGTAGCCACTGCTTCTCACCTCCTCTGCTCTCAAGTGGGGCTTTCTTTTTTCCCATCCCAAACTCCAACTACAGATGTAAAAGCCAGGGCAAACTGGGGTACTTTAACCCATCAAACCACAGACAACACTGACACATCTGCTGGCTGAGAAAGACAGGCCAGGAGTCTCAGAACAGAAC